TCTCTGATCTCTCTCTTCCTCCATACCTTCCACCCTCTCTCCCTCCCTCCCTCTTCTTCTCTAACATAAATTAAAAAAATTAATTAATTAAGTAAAAACTTAATTGGGTTTAATTGGGTGAGGATTAAAAAAAAGAAACCATAATCTGAGTAAACTCCACAATCACTAAAGAAAATTAACCATTAATTAAAACATTTCCACAAAGAAATGTCTAGACACAAACGGCTTTTTAAAGTAAATTCCATCATTCATTTAAGGAAGAAATAAAACCAACGTAACACAATCTTTCCAGAAAACGGAGAGGAACAAAAATAAAAGCCACTCCCCAACCTGTTATAAAACAGGACAACATAACTTAGCAGAAACCGACAATGACATTTCAAGAAAGGAAAGATACAAGCCAATTTCACTCATGAACATAAATATAGAAATCTCCAACAAAATATTAAATTAAACGCAGCATATAACAATCTTAAGCAAGTTGAATTTATTCCAAAAATTTAAAAGTTGCTTTAACTTGTAAATACCAATCATGTAATTTGCAATAAAAACGAAACATGACCATTCAATAGATGTATAAATACTATTTGATAAAATTCAAGTATTCAGGATTTTAAAGACTCTTTAGCATATTTCGAGTAGAAAGAAATTTCCTTAATATGAAAAAGGATAACTTGAAAAATCCTCCAGGTCATATCATGCTTAATGGTTTAATGCTAAAAGCTTTCCTCTGAACCCAGAAATGAGACTAGGATGTCCACTATAACTATTTCATCCAACATTGTCCCAGAGGTTCTATTTGGTGCAATTAGTCAAGAAAAGAAAGTGAGATGTAAAGATTGGAAAGGAAATCTAAAACTCTTGATTACCTGCCGATGACACTTGTTTTGAAAGCACGTGCAATCCAAAAGAATCTATCACAAACTATTGAAATAAGTGAGCTACTGTCAATATATTATATAAAACTCAAACAGCAACAATGAGTTAGAAGTAAAAGAATTTTAATTGTACCATTTAAAATAGCAGAAAAAATATAAAATTCACAGGAATGAGATGCACTTAAAAAGATGTGCAAGACTTCTGTGGGTGAAACTATAAAACATTACAGGCATTAAATACAAGGAAGGAGGGGTGGGGGTAGGGGAGAGGGAGAGACAGAGACAGAGACAAAGACTGACCATGCACACATTCACATGTTGGAAGGTTCAACAGTATGTGTCATTTCTTCCCAAATTGATCTATAAATTCAATACAATTCCAATCAAAATTTCAGATGGTATTTTTGTGGAACATGACAAGCTAATTCTAAAATTTATATATAAATGCAACAGAACATGACTTGCTAGATATTCTTAAAGATGTGAGAGAACACTTACTCTACTGGATATCCTAACACTATAGTAATTAAGTCAGTGTGGTATTGGTGAAAAGAGGCACAATTAGCACAAAGGAACAGAATAAACCCATCTACTATATATACAAATAACTTCACTTACTACAAAGGAAACACAGAAGACCAAGAGAGAAAGGTCAGTCTCCTCAGTAAAAGGTACTGGGACAATCAAATATTCAAATGAAAAGAAAATGAAACTTTACCATTACCTATCATCATACACAAAAATGGATTTCAGGTAGATTATAAATATGCATGTGAATGTCAAAAATATATACTCTCTAAAAGCGGGCAAAGGGGTATCTTCATGGCCTCAGGGTAGGGAAAGACTTTTTAGCACAAGGAACAAAAAGAATCAACTGTAAACAATAAGATGTTAGACTACATTAAAAGTGAATTCTTCTATTTACCAAGACACTATTAATAATGTTGAAAGACAGCCCTGGCTGGTGTGGCTCCGTAGACTGAGTGCTGGCTTGTGAACCAAAGGGTCACCAGTTCAATTCCCAGTCAAGGCACACGCTTGGGTTGCAGGCCAGGACCCCAGCCAGGGACGCATGAGAGGCAACCACACATTGATGTTTCTGCCCCTCTTTCTCCTTCCCTTCCTCTCTGTCTAAAAATAAATAAATAAAATCTTAAAATTTTAAGAATGTGTAAAAGACAAAAGCTATGGAAGCAACCCAAGTGCCCATCAATAAATAAGTGGATAAAAAAGCTTTGGTACATATACAATGGAATATTACACAATCTTAACAATAAAATCCTACCATTTGTAACAGAGGGTATTAATGCTAAGTTAAATAAGTCAGTCAGAGAAATATAAATGCCATATGATTTCACTTATATGTGGAATCTAAAGAATATAAATGAACAAACAAAACAGAAACAGACTCATAGATACAGAGAGCCGACTGATGGTTGCTAAAGAAGCAGGAGGTTTGGGGCTGGTTGCGAAGGCGAAGGGATTAAGAAGTGCACATTGTTAGCTACAAAACAGTTATGGGGATGTAAAGTACAACACAGAAAATATAGTCAATAACATTGTAAAAACTATGCATGGTGTTAGCTGGATACTACAAATAGCAGGGAAAGTATAACCATGCTTGTCTATGCTGTACACCTGAAACTAATACAAATTAATATTAAATGTTAAACAGTAATAAAAAAATTTTTTTACAATTACAAAAAAAGAAAGTTAAAAGGCAAGCCACAAATGAAACATTTACAACAGTACAATAAAATAATCAGTCCAATAGCAAAATGGATGAGAGACTTGCACAGGCATTTTATAGGTGAGGACACCTAAACATTGTATACCTAAACAAATACACACAGATACTCAACCTCATTACTGAGTGGGGATATGAAAACAATTAAGATACCATTTCACACCCACTAGAATAGCTAAAAGCAAAGACCATTAACTTTGAGTATGTGGCTTAAAAAAAAAAGAAACACAGTAGTAAGAGAAGGGACTTTAACCTGGTAAAGGTTATTTGAAAGAAAAGAAGAAAGAGAAAGAAAAGAAGAGAAGACAAGACAGAGAGGGAGGCAGGGAAGAACATTAAGTATCAGGTTTATTTATCGGAACAAAACTGCAGCTCTCTAAGATCAGGCATTAGACAAGCATGTTCACTATCATCATTTTTAGTCAACATTACACTGGAGGCACTATTTAATTTAATAAAATAAGAAAAGTAAATTAAAAACATAGAAACCAGAAAACTGTCACTTTCATATATGATTATCTGTATAGGATACCATACAGAATCCTTGTTCAGAATACGGCCATTCCTTGTCTAGTTAACCCTAACCCTAAATTGTTTAAAATGAAAACCCCCACACTGGAAAGACTATTGGAAAAGTATGCATTAATATTACCTTTCTGGAACACTTTGGCAATGAACAGTAATTCCTCCTCCAGGAATTTACAGCAAAGGAATCCTACTTAAAGCCTGCATATACTGTTCCTCTCACTCTACCCTTGGATAACAGCTACTCATCCTTCAGGTTTTAGTGTTACTTCCTTAATGAGACCTTCTCTGACTCCCCCAATCTAATGAGATTTACTGGTGTATTCTCTCACATCACACTGTACTTTCCTTTTATAACACTTAGTGTGTAACTATTTCCTTGGCTTTTGCATAATGTCCATGTCTCCCATTTACCAACAGACTATTATATTTTGCTAAACTCTACATCTCCCAGTACCTAGTACAGTATCTTGGCACACAGATTACACTCACTTGACAAGTGAAAAACATTTAAAGAACAGTATGTATGTTATAAATATGTGTATGTGTGATCAATATATGAACAGCAAAATTTCAGATATTTGATTTACTCTTTACATTGGATACTTTTTCTCTTTTGTATAATTAAAACTATATAAAGCTATCAGTATTTTATAAAAATAAAAAGAGCACTGGCTGGTGTGGCTCACTGGATTAAGTGCCGGCCTGTGAACCAAAGGGTCACTGGTTCCATTCCCAGTCAGGACACATGCCTGGGTAATGGGCCAGGTCCCATTTAAGGGGCAACCACACATTGATGTTTCTCTCCCTCTCCTTGTCCTCCTTTTCCACTACTCTAAAAAAATAAACAAACAAAATTTTTAAAAGAGAAAAAAAAGACATAGACCTAGGGTTCCTAGTGCTATGATTTGTATATATTAGGTCTTTCAAACTGTTAACTAAGAGCAAACTTCCAGAGGAATATTTAAGAAAAAATGTTCAGAATATATTAAAATGTTTTAATTATATGAAATAACTGTGTTATTTGGGGATAGGTTTATCTATTAATGGAATAATGAAAAAGTGTCAAGGAGCCAGAATTAGCCCAATGAATCAAGACCAGCAGACCTAATGGCTTCACTGGTTAAAGCCACCAAATATTTAAAGAGTTAATGCCTGAATGGTTGCCAAATCAATTCTTGGTCAGGGCACATGTCTGGGTTTCAGGTTCAGTCCCTACTTGGGGTATGTACAAGAGGCAACCAACAGATGTTTCTGTCTCACACCAATGTTTCTTTCATTCTCTTTCTCCCTCCCTTCCCTCCACTCTAAAATAAATAAATAGCCCCGGCTGGTGTGGCTCAGTGGACTGAGTGCCGGCCTGTGAACCAAAAGGGTGCTAGTTCAATGCCCCACCAGGGCACATGCCTGGGTTGTGGGCCAGGTCGTGCGAGAGGAAACCAACTGATGTTTCTCTCCCTCTCTTTCTCCCTCCCTTCCCCTCTCTCTAAAAAATAAATAAATAAAACCCAAAAAAAAGAAAAGAAAAAAGAAAGAATCACACATGGATTTTGATTCATTTGCTAAAAGGATCCCACCCCATGAATTACAAGATATTTTAAAACTAAAGATAGTAATAATGAAGACAACCTGTAGGTTATCTTTAATTTCCCTCCCAATTATTTCCTAACTGATAAGGGGTTTAATACCAATGCTTTCATTTCTTTCAGAAAATATACTAGATTTTAAGACTCGCTAATACTTAGTATGCTAAGGCTATTATTGATGCCTTTGTCCTAATTACCCCTGAAACATGCAGAGTCACCATATACTAATTTTTTAATCCAAAAAATTACTTACTACAGACTTACCCAAGTTTCCTTGCTCAATTGTCAGCACAACCTCATCCATCACCACAGCCCTAAAGTCCAGTTCCTCCTCACAACACTTGGCCTTTAGTGCTCGTAAAATCTCTTTTTGGGGATAGTCTTCCCTGATTCGTCGATCTGTCAAAAACCACAATTTGGCAGCCACAGAGCTACACATCTTGATCTTATTCTTCCTTTTTCTGATTATTTCCTCCTGAAGGCAAACTTTTTCTGGATGGGAGAGAAAATACACATACAAATCAAGAAATCGACTTAATTTCCGGCTTTCACACAAATAAATGCTGCATTTACATACTAACTATACAAATAGGATAACGGTAATATTATGACTTTTCCCCTTTCATTCAAATTAAAAATTTTTATGCCACTAGAAATATGGAAATTGACAACCTGCTCTTAAATAAGATTTCTCCATTTTTCACTGGGGAAGCAAGCACTGCAGTTTCAACAATTACAGCAGGTCACTTATCACACACTTTCAATGTCATCCCCTATATTATATATTGTCTAGGTACAGGTTTATTCCCCCCCGCAAAATGCAAATCCTATCTTGATATAAAATAGTGACTGTGATCATCAATAACATACTCCCATAGCTCTCCTACAACTACAAACTCAAGTCCATTCACTAAAATGTGTTTATTTCAATCAGAACAGTATGCTCTTACTTGGTGTTTTTCTTTTCTTTAAATAGAATTTTAAAAAATAAACAGCTTGTTTACTAGCATGTGAAAAAGGACTTTCTCCTATAAACAGAATTTTGCTTCTCAGAGTTTACCATCATGAGCAAGACAACAGTTGAAATCATTTTCTTGAGAAATGAAAAATTGTAAGTTTTACTGAAAAATATAACAGGTGATTTCAACAGAAGAAATCTTTTCAAAACTAAAATTTCTCGTATTATTCCAGATGACATGGCAAACCTGGCAGAGAAGGAAAGAACAAGGGCAAGGACTAGAGGAAGCAATGACCATACAGATAGATGGCTTCCAGCATACCAGCAGCTAGAACTGGTCCCTCATGCACTATTCACATGCTCTCCAGGGTCTCAGCCACAAGGGTCTGCTCCACAGAAGCACAGCACAGAACAGATGCACACACACACACACACACACACACACACACGCCAAACCTTGGCGGCCTGCCATGTCTACCCCCACAACCTCAAAGGTATCACTCATTGGAAAGTAGGGAAGGAATAAAATAACACGGGAGATACGCAGGAGAGAGGGGCTGGTAGCTGTGGAAAAGCAAGGGAGGACTGGGCTCTCAGCTGCTGTGAAGCATCAGTCCAAGACCCAAGTAACCCACAAAGGGGGTGCCTCATGCTGAGCCTCCTGCTCTCTGTGCCATTGTTCCATAGCTGTGATCAAGAACATATCCACTCGAACCCTAGGTAAGATATGGTAATAACTCATCTTACACACTAGGAAGACAGGATGTGGCCTTACAAAGCCTCCCAGGCACTAGGAAGGGTCTTACTCTGAAAGACTCCACAAAAGTCAAACCAGAGTACTTACTATAGAGATCCCAGGTTCATTTGAGAGACTAACCATAAAAATGCCCTTGTACATTTATATTGGGTAGTTACTGAAACACCATGCCCTTGACCTCCAAAACTCCAAAGCCATCTCTGTGCCTCCCCTAACATTTAGTTCTTGAACATTGTTGTCTTTTCACCAATATGGCTGAATTTCATTGTATAAAACTACACGGAAATTGTGGCCCCAAGAGAAACCAGGATGAGATGTTAGAGCCATGGGCACTGGAAAGCAGGAACATTCTGCCAATACTGGCATGTCATCTCTCAAAAAATGCCCAGGCTGTAACGTGGTGTTTTCAGTGATTCTATAGTCAGGCAATAAAAAGCATTCCAGGACTGCAATCTCACACAGTTCTGCAGCAACTCTGGACAGATGAAGCACAAGAGCATCCCATGTCATTTGGCTTCACAGCATCATAAATTTCAGGTGTTTCCATACTGGCATGCAACAAACAACTGCAGCTTCAGATTAGGTTCCTCATCTCCACTTATTTTCTTTTTAATGGGCTCAAATTCTCTTAATCCTGGGGTTCTAACGAAGAAAATGATGTTCCCTCTCTGAGACAGTTGAAGCAAAACTGAAGATAACATTTGCCACAACTGGACAACATCCCTTCAGAAGGGATGCCTGCACCCAAAATGTGGAACTGAAAGAATGTTCTCGACCTACAAAAGATGACTATGAAAGAGGTGGAGGCTGTGTTGAAGAGGTCCAACATAAGTTCCAATGGCTTTCATTTCTCAAAGACTGTTAAGTGGCATACAACATGACAGGGTCATCACCGCACTTGGAACTGAGCTACCTTTTTCACGTGGAATTCATTTTCTTTATATGCTTCAAAAGGTTCTTGTGTTATCTTGCTTTTCACGGAAAGATTCATAGAAGTATGCCATGTTGTGTTCCAACTCATTCCTGTACCCCCCATAGATGACATTCCCAGTTAGTAAAGGGAACATCTACTTCTTAACAACTTGCAGCTTGTTAATTAAGGTTCCACTGGTGCTGATATCAAGTGACACCTGCTCAGACTTTTTATCCACTAAAATTTTAGTGATCTTCAGAGACCAGCTTATGGCCAGGGAATAAAAGGGCACAACCTCTCCCCTGCCCACTGGCCCATTCCTATTTCCACAAGATGAGTGGCTGGCCATCCTCAGTGCCCACAGCTGCTGCTGCAGAGGCTGCTTGCCTTTTTAAGGTTGTCCACTGAGATTCACATCTAACCATACCCAAGAAATGGCCAGGTGAAGACTCTCCAACCCCGAAGGCAGAGGCTCATCATCCCTATCACCATCCCCACCCATGTGGCCTACCCACCAATGCCTTCCTGTGCACCAGAAAGGGACCAGCAAGTTGACACCCTCTCCGATGGCCTCCGCCTCCCCCTATTATTTAAAAACATCTATTTTTCCACCCATTAACATCAAGAAAAAAGAAAAAACAAAAAAGCTTGTAAGAAGTCAAAAACATAAATTTACACAGTACAGGAGCCCAAGAGTACACACAGGCAAATGACAGCTCTGAGTCTTACCAAAAAAGTTCAAATTTTACATTTACTACTTTAAAATACAGAAAAGAGTCTCTAAAAACTGTTCTTTCCCCTCTGGCATTTGAAAAAGTAGGTTTGGTTACCCAGTAATATATCTGTGAGAAAAGAGTTTATTCTCCAACCGTGTAACCTAAATATAGCAATTGCAAATGCTGTCCAAATATACACAAAAATATCTCTCCTCTTAGAATATAAACTCAGATCAACTAATTTCCACCCTATATTTCTTTATTTCCCGAGTATCAAGAAAAACAATGTACATGTATATATCAGCTATCAAATAAATGCTGATTAACTGCTAAAGCAGTTTTGAAATAAAAAGAAATTCAAAGAGAATTTCCTTTTATATTAGAGATAGTTTTCCCGTGCAAACTTCTGGATAGGCACACCATTTTAAAAAAATCACTGTCACCCTGGCTGATGTGGCTCAGTGAACTGAGCGGTGGCCTGTGAACCAAAAGGACGCCAATTCAATTGCTGACCAGGGCACATGCCTTGGTTGCAGGCCAAGTCCCCAGTTGAGGGCATGAGAGAAGCAACTGGTTGATGTTTCTCACATTGATGTTTTCTTGTTCTCTTTCTCCCTCCCTTCCCCTCTAAAAATAAATAAATAAAAACTTTAAAAAAATATGAATAAAAAATCACTGTCATCTTCAAATAGCCTAGGCAAAGCTAATTAAATGGGAATCATAAAGTGATTCATTTATTTTTCTTGTGAGGCCCCTTTCCCAATGGTAATTATTCTGGTAGGAAAAAAGCAAAATCACAATCTACCATGAAGACACCAAGGCACACCTTACTACTATTAGGAAAAGTCATTTTATTCTAGATAAAAACACAGCATATGAACCCAGAATCAAAAGCCTAAAAAAGAATAAAGTTAGGAGAAAAAAATGAATACTAATAACTAATATATAAACTAAAACTTATTCCATTTGGCAATTTCTACAGATGTGTTTTCAATGGTATCATTCTGTCTTGGATATGAAATTCCATCAGGTTTGTAGAGAAAAATAATAAATGTGTATCTTGAGTTATAGGCACTCTTTCATAGTCTCCTTTTCTGTGACTTTTTCCTAACAGCTCTCCTATATATAACCCTCAGACTTCATTCTCAGACCCTTCTCTCCTTTCCCCAGAAATGTCATCCTCAGTTGGGTTTCTACTGTTACCATTGAAACCTGAATATATCATGACCTACTAAATCTCTCTCTCCAACCATGCAATGGTGCCCATTTGTTTGGTCATACACTAGTCTACATGTTGCTGTTGAGGTATTTTGCATTGTAAATGTGATTAACATCTACAATCAGTTGACTTTGTTGTTGTTGTTGAAGTTTAAACTTTAGCATATTTTTTTCCATTACCATTTAGTCCCCTTATACCTCCCTCCCCCACAGCAATCACCACACTGTTATCTACATCCGTGACTCCTTTTTCCTTTTTGCTCAATCCCTCCGCCCCCTAACTACCGCCCGACTAGTTCTCATCTGTTCTCCCTCTATGAGTCTGTCTCTGATTTGCTTGTTAGCTGAGTTTGTTCATTACATTCCACATATGAGTGAAAACATACAGTATCCTTTCTTTGACTGGTTTATTTCACTTTACACAATGTTCTCCAGGTCCATCCATACTGTTGCAAAGGGTAAAATTTTCTTCTTTTTTATGGCTCAGTAGAATTCCATTCTGTAAATGTCCCATAGCTGTTTAATCCACTCATTTATGGATGGACATTTGGACTGCTTTCCTATCTTAGTGACTGTAAACAATGATGCAATTAACATAGGGGTGCTTATGTTCTTCTGAATTAGTGTTTTGGGTCCCTTGGGATATATTCCCGGAAGTGGGACTGCTGGGTCAAAAGGCAGATCCATTTTTAATTTTTTGGAGGTATCTCTATACTGCTTTCCACAGTGGCTGCACCAGCCTGCATTCCCACCAACACTGCAAAAGGAATGACTCCCCTTTCTCCACATCCTTGCCAGCACTGTTGTTTGTTGATTCATTGACGATAGCCATTCTAACAGGTATGAGATGTTACATCGTTGTGGTTTTAATTTGCATTTCTCTGATGATTAGTGACGTTGAGCATCTTTTCCTACGTCTATTGGCCTTCT